CAATCATCTTGAGTGTTACGGTGTAAGATCGTGCCCTTGACATTCAATCATCTTGGACGCTGCGCTCGAAGCGCTTGTCCTTAACTTTGAACATCTTGGATGATATGCTCTAAAATCTTGTCCTTGAATTACAAACATCTTGGATGCTTCGCTGTAAGATCTTACCCTTAATTTTCAATCACCTTTGATGCTACGGTGTAAGATCGTGCCCTGAACTTTCAATCCTCTTGAATGCTACTGTGTAAGCCTTGTCCTTAACTTGCAAACATTTTGGATGATACGCTGTAAGGGGGTGTTGGATGGTACGCTGTAAGCTGTTGTCCTTAGCCTTCAAACATCTTGGATGCAAGCATGTCACGAAAGGTAGCCTAGGCTACCTGAGTTCTATGTACTTTAGTACTAGTTTAGTACTGGGGGAGGTGGGTGCTCCTTTCCCGGAAATTGAGAGCCGAGAGTCACGAACGGAGACTTAGGGGGGGGGCCCCCCCCCATTCGATTCCCCCCTGGTCCGCATCTCTTTCTTTCTTTTTCTCTGACTATGTACTTACCTCCTTATCCATCTATCTATCCATGTATCTATCTATTTAGTTGTCTATCTATGTATCTATTTATCTATCTATCCTTCTATGTATCTATCTATCTACCTATCGATCTATCTATCTATCGATCGATTGCTTCTATATGTCTATCTATCTATCCATCTATCTATATATATATATCTATTCATCTATCTATCTATCTCTCTATCTATATATCTATCATACATACATACATACATACATACATACATACATACATACATACATACATACATACATACATACATACACACACATACATACATACACACAGACATACGCACATACATACATACATACATACATACATACATACACACACACATACACACATACGCAGATACGCACATACATACATACATACATACATACATACAGACATACACACAATACACACAACAAGTACGCACATTACATACAGACATACAGACATACATGATGTAACATAACATAACATTACACGACTTAATGTGACATAACATTACATCACATTACATACATACATACATACATACATACAGACATACATGATGTAACATAAACATAACATTACACGACTTAATGTGACATAACATTACATCACATTACATAACATTACATTCATACATACATACATACATACATAAATACATACATACAGACAGACAGACATATTTACAAACATACATGGATACAAAGGAGTTATCTGGTTAGTGGCCATAGTCAACTGGCCCCATGGTCTGCAACATACACCTAGAATCCTTTCTCGGGCATTGTAGAAGGAAAAAAAAATTACGACCGAGTTTTTCTACTCCGCTCACAAACTTGGTCGTAATTCTGTGGGGCATTTGTTGGCTCTGAATTCGTCACAGCCAAGCAAGAAAGCAACACTGGACACGTCATACCACTTATAATGTTTCATAGCTCTGGTTTACTAAGTCATCCAAATGGACTGTCGTCTATGTACTTGGCTTACACCCCCCAGTTACCCCAGACTGGCTCCATTTCATTTCAAATTGGCCATTTCATTGCAAACTGGCTCCATTCCATGGATGAAATTTCCCTTTCTCATGGGAATCCACGGCAAAACAACCCTGTGGATGAAATGTCTCCTTTTCACCCGCCTGCGCTTATGCCCGCCGGGCATAAGAACAGGCAGGCCCTTCATCGAACAGGTTTTGGGCCTAAAATGATGAAAAAACAGCCTTTACCCTGCCAAACTTGCGCTGCCAAAGCCCCGCCTGCGCTTACGCCCGGCGGGCATAAGAACAGGCAGGCACCCAGGCCTGGACCAGGCCCTTGCAAGATGATTCCAAGATATGTAGGCCCAACATAGCTGACATGGACGTACTTGGGGCCAGCAAGTCAAAAGCCAGTACTAGTTTAGTACTGGGGGAGGTGGGTGGTCCTTTCCCGGAAATTGAGAGCCGAGAGTCACGAACGGAGACTTGGGGGGGGGGGCCCGTACGTTCGACACTTGGAGGCTATATCGCAAGCCAAGAGGCTATGGATCAATACTAATCAAAAGGCAGCGAAGCAAACCACAGGCGCAAAATGGACGCAACTGATTCCGCATGCTTCAGGCTTCAGAACATATATAATATAGGCTTCCCAGAAAGATATGCCGATGGAGCCGCGGAGCCGATGAGGCCGATGAGGCCGATGGAGCCGATGGAGCCGATGAGGCCGATGGAGCCGATGAGGCCGATGCAGCCGATGAGGCCGATGAGGCCGATGAGGCCGAGACCGCGATGAGGCCGATGAGGCCGATGAGGCCGATGAGGCCGATGACGCCGACGAGGCCGATGAGGCCGATGAGGCCGATGAGGCCGATGAGACCGATGAGGCCGATGGAGCCGCTGGAGCCGATGGAGCCGCTGGAGCCGATGAGGCCGCCTCAGGCCGATGAGGCCGATGGAGCCGATGAGGCCGATGAGGCCGATGAGGCCGATGAGGCCGATGAGGCCGATGGAGCCGATGAGGCCGATGAGGCCGATGGAGCCGATGAGGCCGATGAGGCCGATGAGGCCGATGAGGCCGATGGAGCCGATGAGGCCGATGAGGCCGATGGAGCCGATGAGGCCGATGAGGCCGATGGAGCCGATGAGGCCGATGAGGCCGATGAGGCCGATGAGGCCGATGAGGCCGATGAGGCCGATGAGGCCGATGAAGCCGATGAGGCCGATGAGGCCGATGGAGCCGATGAGGCCGATGAGGCCGATGGGGCCGATGAGGCCGATGAGGCCGATGAGGCCGATGGAGCCGATGAGGCCGATGAGGCCGATGGAGCCGATGAGGCCGATGAGGCCGATGAGGCCGATGAGGGCGATGCAGCCGATGAGGCCGATGAGGCCGATGAGGCCGATGAGGCCGATGAGGCCGATGGAGCCGATGAGGCCGATGAGGCCGATGAGGCCGATGAGGCCGATGGAGCCGATGAGGCCGATGAGGCCGATGGAGCCGATGAGGCCGATGAGGCCGATGGAGCCGCTGGAGCCAATGGAGCCGATGAGGCCGATGAGGCCGATGGAGCCGATGAGGCCGATGAGGCCGATGGAGCCGATGAGGCCGATGAGGCCGATGGAGCCGATGGAGCCGATGAGGCCGATGAGGCAGCTGAGGCCGATGAGGCCGATGAGGCCGATGAGGCCGATGAGGCGCTAGGAGCCATGAGCCGAGAGGGAGATGAGGGCCGATGAGTGCCGATGAGGCCGATGAGGCCGATGGAGCCGATGAGGCCGATGAGGCCGATGGAGCCGATGAGGCCGATGAGGCCGATGGAGCCGATGGAGCCGATGAGGCCGATGAGGCAGCTGAGGCCGATGAGGCCGATGAGGCCGATGAGGCCGATGAGGCCGATGGAGGCCGATGGAGCCGATGGAGCCGCTGGAGCCGCTGGAGCCGATGAGGCCGATGAGGCCGATGAGGCCGATGAGGCCGATGAGGCCGATGGAGCCGATGAGGCCGATGAGGCCGATGGAGCCGCTGAGGCCGATGAGGCCGATGGAGCCGATGAGGCCGATGAGGCCGATGAGGCCGATGGAGCCGCTGGAGCCGATGGAGCCGCTGGAGCCGATGAGGCCGATGAGGCCGATGAGGCCGATGGACCCGATGAAGCCGCTCGAGCCGATGAGGCCGATGGTGCCGCTGGGGCCGATGAGGCCGATGAGGCCGATGGAGCCGCTGGAGCCGATGAGGCCGATGGTGGCGGTGGGGCCGATGAGGCCGATGAAGCCGATGGAGCCGCTGGGGCCGCTGAGGCCGCTGAGGCCGATGGAGTCGCTGGAGCCGATGAGGCTGCTGGAGCCGCTGGCGCCAGTGCGACCGATGAGGCCGATGAGGCCGATGAGGCCGATGAGGAGGCCGATGAGGCCGATGAGGCCGATGAGGCCGATGAGGCCGATGGAGCCGATGAGGCCGATGAGGCCGATGAGGCCGCTGAGGCCGATGAGGCCGATGGAGCCGATGAGGCCGATGAGGCCGATGGAGCCGATGAGGCCGATGAGGCCGATGGAGCCGATGAGGCCGATGGAGCCGATGGAGTCGATGAGGCCGATGAGGCCGCTCAAGCCGCTGGAGCCGATCAGGCCGATGGAGCCGATGAGGAGTAAATGAATAAATTATGATACATGGTGTTGTTTTGTATTGGTTGTTGTTGTTGTTTTAAATGGAGTATAGTGAGGAGGGGGACCTTTTTAGTGCTATTTTCGATTCGCACAAGACCACCACTCTGCTGTCGACTTCATGCCGCCAAAGCAGCCTTAAGCCTTTATAAATGCTTCTTGGCACAGAAGTGTCCGATTGAGAGGTTTCCCTACGCCTAGAAATATACCCTATACACAATAAAGTCACAATTTGCATTGTTCTTTGAATCAAAAAGCATATCTTATATCTATATGTTTTTCATGGATTAATCTGTTTGTACATATCGAAAGACACGCTACCATGACCACGGCCGGATTTCCTGCAATCACGGTGGTGACGACTTATTCTGCACTAGCTATCTCTTTTGTGCTCCCACTTGCCCGTGCACTATTCGCAGGGCGCATATTTTTGGATCAAACAGATCAACCAGCATGAGAAGGCAAAGGATGCATAAAACATTGTAATTAATCGAAGCATGATAAGGGGAACGATGCATAAAACAATATAATTATGATATTTCTCTCCACGAGTTGTAGAGAACACAGATCCGCTTCTCTACCATTGGCACAAAGCCGACTTAATTTACTGCCTTGAGACACCCGCAGCCTGCGCGGCGCATGCTGGGAGGCAAGGGACGCTTCTGGGTCATGTCTGCGCCCGTTTTTTTCAATGACCACAAAAATCAACACCACTGGTCCGCCTATCCAAGCCAGAAGCTGATGCAATGTTCCAGGTTAACGCTAGCCTTTCACTTTCACAGATATGATTTCTGCACATGTACAATTTTCTGTTTCACGCATGACAGCCGGACTTATCGCCACAGATGTGGCTTCGCAGGTGGCCACTGCGACGCCTCTTCTTCTCAAGGTCCATTCTTGGCACCGCTTCGATGCTGTGGCCGTGCCACACATGTTTTGCTGCATGAACGCCTCAGAACCCTGGATATTATCCTTGTCATGAGCTGGATCTCTCTCTCTCTCTCTCTATGTACATTGGTATATATATATATATAGTGTGCATAGAAGATAGATAGATAGATATCATGTATATATGTAGAAATAGATATGGACATTTTAGGAAACGATCTTGCATCCAAAAAAGACCTTCTATTAAGGACCACAGCTCATGTGATTTGCATTTCCTGCGGCTGAGCTTCATGTCTTTACAGCATAAAGGATGTTACCTGCCTTACCTCAATACTTTTTCCCCTTTCTGATTGGAATCATGGGAAAAGTCATTGAAACCGCTTTCGGCATACGGCATACGCTTCGTTTCGAAATGATACATGTTCACATGTTCAGCAGCACAGCGCTGTGATTACATGGCATGCACCAAAAAAAAGTTCCTTACTCCTTTGCTGTTTGCTATACGGTGACTTTCAAACATTTTTGAAGCATAGCTGGGCGTCACTTTGCGGGTCGAACCATGTCAAACTTTCAGTCAAGTTAGGGCCACCACACGCTTTTTGCAAGGCCTCACCGAAGCGCTGTCCCAACTTGTTGCAGAGCACATGGCGCAAGCAGATGAAGGCGCGAATACAACCTTTCCGCATCTAGATGCCCTAACATAAAGAAATCGTATTTTTTTCTGCCACTCACCAGGCATTCCCGGAGAGGAAAGCGTGCGTGCACTTCCGGAAGACATGGAAAATTGGATGATGAAGCATGGACAAGCGCGAGCACTCCTCGACATCAATCCGCCCGAAATGCCCGACTTCCAGCAAGCACCTCCCAGTCAATGTCATTTCCATGCTGCGTCGGTTCCGGCGGCAGTCTCACAGCATGGTCCTGATGAGCCATCTATTCTTCGGCATTGGAGCCCGGAATGGCTTCCACGACTGTTCGAAGATGCAAGCCATCTCAGAATCCAGAAAGATGTATGCCAACGCCCCGCCACAATGGCAGAAGAAACCATAGCATTCCGAGACCGAGTCGATCAATCCTTTGGTTGGAAAAGCAAAGTTCTGGACGACCAGCAGAAATCTTATAGAGCAGCAGCTCAGGCCACGCTTCTGCCACTTGCATGCATGCGGATTCTATCGGGTGGTGTTGCGTGTATCAACGGCTTCCCACGCCCAACGAAAACCCATAATTGTGCCCCGTAAAAACATGTCCCTAACAATGGGCCCATGTACGTCACAGCGAAGTATCGGAGCAAAACCGAAGGACCCACATAACTTTCATAAGCTGTGCTTTGGAGCTTCGGTGCTGGTGCTGCTGCAGGGTGCAGACTGCACGTTTGGAGCCTGGGTGCTGGTGCCGCTGCAGGTGGCTGCTGCTGCATCGCGACTGCGCGCTTTGGATGCTGTGTGCTGGTGCCAATGCTGCATGTGTCTGGCGATGATAAACGTCTATGCATATGCCAAAAACAAAGGTTTCGTTGCTCTTTGAGGTCTATCCTAACCAAAACACGTAAGTTGCAAGAACATGCAAGAACACAACCTGCTTGGAAATCCTCTGCGCAACTGCTAGGGCACCCCATTCTTAATGCGAGATTCAAACAAATTGGGCATGACAGGATTGGCGCAATGCATCCCTCTTGGACTGGCAGGGTAGGAAGCCATTGTACCAGAGACAAGCAACGGCAGCTATGGAACAGTAACAGGTGAGGTTAAGCATCATCGCAACTGCAGCAGCAGGACCTTCTATGTAGATCTGTAAAGAGGAGCTCACAAGATCTTCATACAAGAACTTCCTACGCGCACCCCAAGCCAATTCCAAAGCTTCGATAAACGACAGCCTACCGGTATCACCCACATTCCTTGTTTCGACAAGTCTAACGATTGAGCTAGATTTACCCTCCCAAAGAAGCTTCGCTGTAGAGGCCCATCATAGTCAAAGTCACATTGGTTCATGGCATGACGCAATTCTCACAAACAACCCTTCTGCCTTCCGCCAAGGTTGTTGGACACAAGCCCGGACGATGGCAAGTCGGAGCTACTCCACTGCAAACTCTTCGCCTTGGTTGCTGGGGATCTCTACCGCAGTCATGGGGGCCAACTCTTCGAATACAACAATGGCGCATGGGCGCCGGCCTCTCGTGGCCTGACATCTGTGAACCTTGAATTCGTCCTCCAGGCCCTTCGTAGAGCTCAGGCGTATTATTCCATAATGGCCCAGATGAAGCCGAAGAGATGTTATGATGACATTGTCTTCGAGATCAAAGCCATCCAGCAAGTGGGTATGGAGGAGGTTCTCTTGCAATGGCAACTTCAGGATATCATTCAGAGGAAACCTGAAGTCAGAGCACGTGAGTGGCTCTGTGGCCTGTCTGAGCTTTGTCGGACGCTCCGGCACCAATTTGCGGAGCATTCAAGGACATCAAGACTCCCCAAATCATCCACACGAAGAAAGAAATAGAACATGTTCAACCACTCGCAATTTTTGTCCTACTCCCCCTAGTCTAGTTCAGCTTCCCATCCTGTAAGCTTGGCGCCAGGACCATCGTGAAATGCTTCCAACGTTGGGGCGATGAAGAAATACGGGTCAAACAGCAACCAGGGCTCTGCTTCCAGGATGCATTCATCTCGACTGTGGATGGCAACCCGAAACAAATGCAGAAAGATGCCCGTCATGGTTGTTACATAGCCATCCCTACTCCCATCGCCTTTGTGCCCAGCATGGCCACCAGACAGCGATACGCCAGCATCCTCTTGTCTTCTTTTGCAGGCTCAGATGGATTGCAAGTGCTGCTCAACCAATGTGCTCTGGTTGTGGCCCGTGTCCGGCAGCCTGACATCTTGCACATTGTTGTTGGATGTGGACATGACGTAAAAACTTTGATTTTTGTCGATCACTTGCAAGCTGTCTTTGGCAGTGCCTTCAGTTGCGCTCCGTGCGGCATGCTGCAATCGGAGCGAGAATTCCAAGCCCAAGGTGCCAATTTCATACATGCAGCCTTCCTCACCTTTGATGAATGCAAAAGAGATTCAGGAATCATGGAGGATATCGTCAAA